TCGTATCAGTGGACTCATACAGTATATGGATCTTTGTTTCTGGCTTTTTTCACTTAGCATAGTGTGTTCAAAGTTCATCCATCTTGTAGAATGAATCATTATTTCATCCCTTTTATGACTGGATAGTATTCCATCATTTGGATATACCCTATTTTTTATCCATTCATTGGCTGATGGACATTAAATTGTTTTCACTTAATGGCTATTATAAACAATGCTCTATAAACTTTAGTGTGTAAGTTTTTTGTGGATGTGTTTTCAATTCTCTTGCTTGTAAACCCAGAAGAGGAATTTCTGGGACTTGTGGTAATACTTCTACCTGCATTTTAAAGAACAATTTCAGGTGATTCTAAGACTCACTAATGTTGAGAATCACTTCCCCAGGTCATCACTACTTCCTCCAAAGAACTGTATCTGCAATCTTAACTGCCCATAAGTATTGACATTGTACCTGGTAACAGGTAAAAAAGGACCCTCATAACATTCAATCAATTATGATTTATAAATATTTATAAATAACTACTAAGTTAGTATAACTAACTTATAATATCATATTGTTGCCTTCATTTGACAAATTTAAATCCAGACATAGTGAAGGGCAAGATTTAAATAAACGAATAGGCAAATAAATAACCAGTCAATCTATTTTCTGAGCCTACAGCTGAATTTGCCTTGATTTACTTTTCTCTGAGAACCAAGAGCTTACCTGCCTAGGCTCTCCTGAGGAACTAGATTCTGGGTTTGATAGGTGTAGTGGAAATATGTTAGTCGTTTTACCTGCCAAGCATTTTGAACACTTTTTCCTAAGTGTAGAGTTTTCCTCACTTGAGAAGTCCTCATCTTCTCAAGGTGGAAGCCTAAAACTTACTTGCTTAAATGGGTTAGAATATATTCCTATTGAAGAAGAATATGATTGCTATCCCAGGACTCTACCGTGGAGATTACACTGATGCTGAACTGTACGTAGAAGCTTGCCCCCAGTTTGCTACTTAGCTTTAGGACCTTGGCATGTCTCTTTTGCAGAAACGTCCTCCTTTACATGGCTCAGTTTGACAAATTCTCTCTACCACTGAGAGTATAGAAAATGTCACAGATGAAATCTGAATCCTTTGTGATGACTAATTCTAAAATATTCATCCGCACACCAGCATGCTGATTTCTAAAGTACTGTCTGCAGAAAACTCCCTGAACTGTGATCTCTTTGGCAAGTCCATCAGGCGTATGGTTTAGGTTTATTTCCTGACCATCCTCTCTATTCCACCACCATTCTCAAATATATGAATGTACCACAAGGCTTTAAAGTACATTATCTAATAGCGTTATCTAAACATCAGTGAGGGATGGAAAGCTTTAAGAGAAAAAAATACAAAACTGTGATTTTTTGACTTTGTAGGGACATGCTGTATATTTAAGAACTTCCAATAAAAATATGTCCAACCATTGTTCTGACAAATTCCTTCTTACACTTTTCTATGTAAAGAAACTCCTTAGACTCCAGTGGGCAATCTGGAAGGCCTCCGGGGAGATTGTTTCCATGATACTGAAGGTAAATTCCATGTAAGAACTTGTGAATGTACAGAAATTATGTGAAGCCTAATCCTCTCACCATCCCCCTTCCATCCTCAAGTGGGCCCCTGCACAGAACCAGCGTCAGGACACCAGGTTTTGAGTCTCTTAGATCACTCAGAAATGAAATCCGGGAGGCGAGTTGTAACATTTCACCTGATGGTCTGACATTTTGCCTTCATCTACCTCAGGTTACATTTGCTTTGGTATGTGGGAGTCCACAGAAAATGCCGCAGATATCAGTCACCCCTTCCTAAAATTCACTGAGGCTGATGCCCACAACAGCTCTGAGGCCCACAGTGAATGTGTGGACCATATAAACCTACGAACACACTTTCAGATTGACAAACACCAGCCTAGAGTCTTACTACTGTGCATTTTTGAGGTGACATATGGTCACTGCAAAAGAGAGAGACCCTGCTGTCATATTTACTCATGAGGGTTGTTGAGAATTTTATTTTTAGGGCAGAAAATTTCCCGGAACATTTGGTCTTGAAAATAAAAATAAAACAAATAAAAACCCACCCATTAAAGCAAATCAAAATTGAAGTATCCTAAGAAAAAGAATTTACCTTATGTTAAGATCTTTGAATTCAACTGTTTATTCTCAACAACGTTTAAGACAATGTGGCTCCCTAAGACATGAATGGGTGAGCAGGCATTCATCAGCATGAATTCCCCAAGGGCTCAGGTTTGATACTAACCAGTAAAAGATCAATTTTCTAAGAAGTCGTCCTGAAGTCTAAGTTCTTTTCCTGTTTCATGGCCAACATCATGGAACTATCCTCAAAATGTTACTGAATCTCTCCAGTGAAATTTTAAACTCTTCCAACGTACTAAATCTACACATTTAGGAGCATGTAGTATGCCAGTTGTTCAGGCTGAAATCCACCTCAGTCCTAGGCGTCCATCCAGGGTAAATTTGTCTACCACAAGGACTGGCTGCACACTGCAGCCTTTTAAGGGTTACTGTGATAGAGCACTTTAATTACTTTGGTTACCTCCTGAGCTCTCTCTCTGGGGATGGGTGTGTTTCAGACATGGAAGGGTGTTGAGGGGGAAACATTCCCATGAGCTCAGACTGGACACAACTTGTTTTCGATGCTTAATGTAAACATCTAGCTGTATTCTCATTAGCAATTCCGCAAGGCAGAATAATGCCTCTTATTCTCACTTCCGCCTATTCCTTGCTCTGAGCCTCCAGTCTAACTGTTAGCATTGTTCCGGCTCCCACTCCCGCCCTGCTGTGCTCTCTCTGCATTCTCCCCCTCCAGCCGCAGGCTCCCTGTTTGATCGCCAAGCCTCCTCCTCTCCCAGATCCTCCTCTTAATCCTTTCTTTTAACCGGTTCTTCCTCCGTGAGGACTGACAATAACAATCCACAGTGAAGGCTTCCTGCACCCATTAAGCCTTTAGGATAACAGACTGGCTTGTTAGGATCAGCAAAAATAGCTGAAGAATGAACAATTAAGAACTATATCCTTTGGTTTTGCACTCCTTAACCTCTTCCTGGAATCTTGTGATTTACTTGCATCCTTTCTATGAGAAGCTCAAGTCTCCCTTAGTTCCTGCCACACACTATTGCCATAAATGTTTAATGAAAAGTGTTTAAAAGGTGTGGAGTTACTATTTTAGGCTTTATTTTTAAGATGACTCATACCTAGACTATTTGTCAAACTCGCTGATCTGGTTATCTTCCTTCGAGAAATCACACCCTTTTAAACAAGTCTGTCTAAATCATTTATTTATGTGGTTGCTGATTACTGTTACAGGTTCTGATGCTGTGACAATACCTTTTCATTTACAAAGGCACGGGGGACACTCCCAGCCCCCTTCTCCCTCCCTGCAGCCTCTCAATAAATGGCACTAAGAACAAAGGGAAGAGATTGGGCAAAAGATAGAATTATTTATATTTGAAACACTATAAATGATACACATCTGCACATAAGCAGTTACCTGAATTGGTACTTAAAATTAGAAACAACTTCCCTTTTTAATTTTTCAAAAGAGGAAATTGGTATCATCCATGATTTCTAGGGAGCTATACTAAAATTTACTTTTTAAAAAAGTAAACCCCTCAGTTCTGAGGTTGCTCTTTTAATTCAATTGAGGGTGCTTCCATTCCAGAGGAACTCCTGACACAGTATTTGAGAATGAGAAGGCTGAAACAGAAAAAAGGATAGAAGAACAACATTGGGACACTAAGTCTTATCTTGGGTACTGAAATCAGGAGAACAAAGAGTAACATAGAAAAGCCCTCATGGAAAGGTGTGTGCCAGCTGACACCCCTCTGCCCGCCACCGGCTCCCCCATTAAAGACGCACTAGTGTTTCTAGAAATAAGCATCTAAAAATGAACGTTAAAGACACTTTGGCTTAGTGAGCTGCATTTCATTTAGCACAATACAGCGGGAATATGTGTCAGCCAGACTCCCAGTTGAGATGTTTGTTTATGGGGTTAAGCAAGACTGGGACACAATCAGATAGGATGACATTCTCCAGGGAGCTGAGAAACTGCAGATTAGGAAGGCACAGGCCGAGGGGCGAGAGTGTGCTCAGAATCGCCTCTGAGCATCGAGGGTGAGCTTTTCCAGTTGCAAAACTCTTCAGCAGTAGTTTTCCATTCCCCGTGGCACCCACAGCTGCCTAACGCTGCCACCGTGCTCTTACTCAGGTGAGAGTGAGCAAAAACACCCATATGAGTTCCTCTGGGCCTCCTTTGGCAGGTGGAGATGGCATCTTACATGTTCTTCTCGTGCACAGGAAGAAGTACTTACAAGAATTAGGACTTCTTTTGGTCCCAACAGGGACATGCATGTATTGTGAACAAGGAGAAGTACTCTGGAGTCTGGTCTTAAAAATATATATGCTTTTAAACTGTTAGGTAAATGTGAAAGCATGTATTACAAACAATGATGAGGATAAAGTGACAAAGGCAGCAGGGCTACTAATGTTGACATTACTGAGGGTCGGCTGTGTCAGGCACTATTTTAAGCACTTTATCTATAACATCTCATTTAATCCTCACAATAACCCTAGTGAGGCAGGTTCTACAATTATCCCATTTTACAGATAATCGTGATACTGGATTTTACGAGATTCTCTCACCAAGGTTGCTGTTAAAGCTCAGCACAGAGCAAGGCACAGGAATGTCTGCTGGGGTTTATGGTCATTTTATTTCTTGCTCTGTTTTATTAGTTAGCAGGTGCTTATATAAAGTTGACTGTGTGGCAAGAATTTTACAAGTATTAACTCATTTAATCTTCATGACAACCCTGTGGGCTAGATTCATTTATTCTCATCAGTTTGAAGTCATGCAAGTTGAGCCAAGTCAAGCAGCCTACCTGCCCAAGGTCACCCATCTAGCAAGCTGGTAGAGCAGGTGTCTAACCCAGACTGTCTTGGCTGTTCAGAGGGTAAAATGTCTTATACAAACAGCTGATGCTCAAGCATTTCCTAAATACATAGCCAACTTACTTAATTTTCTTGGGTGGAGAGGGGTGCGCATGGAGTGTGTGGGTAGTGGAGGGAAGGAAAGCATTTATCCTATCTCTCTCTCTCCTTTTCAGACCTCCTAATTATTGGTATGGGAGCTTGCTTCTCCTCTCACAGATGTTACCACCTAGTAAACCAGTGGTAACTGATGATAGACCAATCGTTGGGGGATTAAACTATCCAAATGTGAATGCATAAGGGAAGTCAATTTCATGCTAATAGCTAAATTTAACAGCTCTGATTTTATCTTACTTAATAATTTTGATGCTTCACATTCAGCAACACAATAAACTACAATATATGCTGTATTTCTATTCAACTACCCAAGCACACATTTCTACATAACTCTTTAATTTAGACAATCCCATAAATTTCAAATAAACGAACCTGGGAACAACCACGTCCTGAGGAGGAATTGCCTCCACTCCCACCAGCAGTGCCCTTGACTCCCATACACGGAGAGGAAACTGACATTGGCTGATGAAGTTTTGAACATTTGGAAAGCCTTTGGTTGAGAGGCCTGGTCTCATTAATAAAAGAACATGAAAATATCTCAGGTAGAAAGAAGATGGAGTCTGGTGCCTTGAGAAGATAAAGAAAGTAAGCCTAAGGGGAAGAAATTGGTTTATCCAGAACAGAGAGGGTGAGGTTTTAGGGGTACTTCAGATGGCAGGGACCATACCCCACTTCTACCCAGGTCCTTTGGGTACTAAGAACTCTTATAGGCAGGTGTGCAGAGGGAGCTTGAACCCTGAGTGCTATACATGGACCAGGAGCTCCTACAAATCTTCTGTTAAGGCTTAGCACCGAACAAAAGAGCCACAGGTCTTGGAATGGGTCCACAGGCACGGGCATGGAGCCTAGGGAGTGGCAGCCACAATTAACTAGAAAAAGGTGCCTCCCAACTTTTGGATAGCAAAATCCCTGGGGTATCTGTGCAAACTCCAGGACAGAGATAGGACCATTCTTCCTACTCAATGACTGAGACAGAATTTTTTGCCAAGAGTAACAAAAGGGATCTGAGTCAGATTTGATGTGATTTTTTAAAAAAGGAATGTGACATTTTTGTCTGTTGGATATCATGGAACAAGGTATGGAGGAATATTGTACATTCTCCTATCTTTTGACTGTCTGGTATTTATTGTATAAATTTTAATCTCAAGCTTTAACATGGTTTGATGATGATTATAATGATAATAATAATAATAAACCAATTTCTAATGCCCTCTACTATGAACTCAAATTGTGAGTACTTATAAATCCAAGATAAGATGGATGGCAAACAGTGATATGGTAGAATGTAATAGCTGCTCATCAAAACCCATGCATTCATCTTCTTCCAGGAGACACAGCTAGACTACCTTTCCCTGCATTCCTTGAAGTTAGTGTGGCCTTGTGATTGATTTCTAGCCAATGGAACCTGAGCAGAAGTAAGGGGCACCTCTTCCAGATACAGTAGTCCCCCCATCCCCCTGCACCCACAGTTTCACTTTCCATGGTTTGAGTTACCCATGGTTAACTGTGGTCAGGAAGCAGATGATCTTCCTTCTGACATATCATCAGAAAGTCAGTAATAGCCTAACTATGTCACAATACCTACATGATTCACCTCACCTCATCTCATGTAAGCATTTTATCATCTTGTACAATCACAAGTGTGAGTACAGTACAATATTTTGAAAGAGATAGACTGCATTCCTATAACTTTTATTACAGCATGTTGTTATAACTTCTGTTTTATTATTATTCACTGCTGTTAATCTCTTACTATGCCTAATTCATTAAACTTTATCATAGATATGTACATATAAGAAAAAACACACCATATATAGGGTTGGCACTATCTGTGCTTTCAGGCAGCCACTGGGGTCTTGGGACATATCCCCTGTGGATAAGAGGGGACCACTGTCCTGACCATTGCAAACCTCCCAGCCACACACCTCCATGGTCTTGTTCGTCTGGCTAACTGGAATAGAGAGGATCCCCAAGTAACCTAGGAACCTAAGTGTTGAAAATGTCAGCAGCTCCATCAGTCTGAGTGACACTGAGTAACAGTGAATGAGCAGAGCCTGCCCAGCAGTAAGAACACTCATAACAGAGCGTTATTTGAATGAGCAAAAATTAAGCTTTGTCTTAAGACACTGAAGTTCTGGGGTCTGTTTGTTACAATAGCTTGCATTTTCCTAACTAACAAAATTAGTGTGGCTGAAACAACTACAAAAACTATCTCCTTCTCACCTGCAATCACCACACAGTCTTGCCCTTTGCAAAGAATATCTTTCAAATTGTAGAAAAGACATGAGAAAATAGTCTAAGTTTAAAATCCAGTGTAAAGTTCATACTTAAGCTATCTATAAATGTGTTTTTGTTTGCTACCGAGCATTCTATTTCATTTGAATTAGTTGCCAATGTTTATAAATGATGACATTACACACAAAAATCTGAATTTTCATCTTCTGAAAAAAAAACTGGATAATCTGGCCAACTTGGGCTTTATTCTCTCTTTTATGTAAGTCATACACCCTTTAGACCACGTGGTTTGTGCTGTCTTCCCATTTCTACATTACTTACGTGGCCTTTGAATGCAGTTGAATTTGCCTGCTGGGTTATCATAAATACCTGGGGATTAAAAAACTATGCAATACCAACTAGACTGTAATTACAACAAGAAATTAACTTTGACTATTTCTATGTTATGCCCTTGGCTGCTTCTGATGGAGATTTCAGAAACAACCATATGAATTCCATTACTGCATTTGCTGATCTCATATTGTTGATGGGTTTTTCCCCCCACTGTATCTCTTGATATTCCCTATATGAAATCCAACATAATATCATCTCAGAATTAACTCATTAGAAAATAATTAGTAACATCCCCTCCCCCCAGTACAATAATAGCTATTTGTCTGATCGTTTTCCCTGTTGTCTTTGTCTGTTAGGAAGATCAAAGCTACATTTCTGCTTCAAGTATACAGTAAGAGAAGTTATGACTTCAACATACATATTCTATTATTTTTCTTTCTATTGCTATTTTATTTCAATATATGTGTTCTCCATTATGGCTATTTGTGTACTTAGAAAATTCAGCTATTTCATACATACATTTCTTATAGGCCACCTCAAATTTTTGTAAAGTTATAGAGTATAAATAAATAAGTATGGTTAAATTAAACATTACAGTTAATGTTTAATAACAGCATAAAATTATGTCAAAAGAATATAAAAGTTTAATGTTCATAAAACACCAGGCTATATCCATTTGATACATGACTTTTTTATTTTGTGTCTTCCCTCTTAAAAATAGGATAAATTCATAAAAATTATAAACAAACAACTGCTTGGTATCTTTTCTGGATGAGTTGTTCTAAAGTAGACGGACAAACTTCATTCACTATTGTTTTGTTTTTCTGAATTTACATTAAATAGCAGCTCTCACATAAAGATATATTCCCTCTTTTCCCTTTCCATTCATTCAACAAGGTATTTACTAAACACCTACTTCATGTCAGGAGCTCTGTGTTCATAAAGCCAAATCCCAGAACTTGGAGATTCAACTCACAGAGTAGGAGAAAGGCTAAATGAAAGATCCACAGAATATGCACTAGTGGGAGGGATGGTTTCTGCCTGCAGAGTCAGGAGAGGCCCGTCCCATGGCAGAGCTGTGCCCCAGGTGTTGATAGGTAAGCGGGAGGTGAAGCAGGGGTAAGGACCCACCCCACAAAGGGATGCCTGAACCTAGAAGGATCCTTAGTGGATCCAAAATCCTCAAGTCAGCACCATTGTTGGGTGTCAACTGGCAGGAGGAGCTGTGGGACAATATCAGGAGATGAAACTGTCAGAAGAGAAGTAGTAGGGATCTGGTCAAGATCCTCTTGTAGACAGTGAGCAGCCACCGAGAGATTTCAGTAAGAGACTTGCATAGTTGATTCTGTAGTCCATGGAACAAACTCTAGAACCAGTCTGATTGCTTCCTCATGATTCATTGACTTAATGTGGTACTTAGGCTTCTCAGAAAGAGTTCAGGATAGCTTGAAAAGGTACATATACTCAGATAGAAGTCACTAAAATAAGAACTCGAAAGATGTGGTTAAGGGAGTTTACGTGCGGGGAAGTAAGATGGGGCAAGTGAGAAGGCTGGTTCACATACGCCATATGGGCCCAGACATTCTACATAAACATCTGCTAGAGGTGAGGCACAGAGAACCTAACTCTAGACTTCCTGGCAGTCAAATGAACTGTTTAGAGAAACACAGAATCCATGGAGTAAAAGCAAGCCCAGTGCTCTGTGGCAGTGCTGATACTTCTGGCACAGAAATGTATACTCTCTGATACAGTGATAAATGTTCTCAGTAATAATCTGACAGCAGACACAGTAATAATCTTCATAGGACAGTTTTCTCATAAAATCTTTCCAAACTAAGTCATTAACATCCTGTCAAACCATCCCCATCCAATAAAAGCATTTATGAAACGTAATAAAATGTATTAAATTCTAGGGCAACTTGATACAGTCTAGGAATGTGGCTCTCTGCTGACCTCACTTAATTCAGGAAGGATTTTAGGGTATCTATCTGAAAGGAAAGAATGGACTATGTTTCAGGTAGTCCTCTGTGATCTGCTTCTTTTGATCCAAGCTTTTATTCTGAGCCCCAGGCGACACTTCCGGTTAGGCCTGGAGTGCCGTTAAGCACAGCTCTCTGGCCAAAATGGCCAGCTGGGCTGAGGCTAGAACTAGTGTCCTCTTCTGGAAAATGTGGGTCCTAAATGATACTGAATTGAACATTGATCCTCTTGCTTATTGACTGATTCACTTGTTCGACACACACTTGAGACCCTCCTATGTGGCAGACACCATGAGTTGGATTCAAGCTCTCCTCTCAAGAAGCTTACAATCTAATGGTAGGTGAAGACAAAGAAATAGATAAATTACAAGGAGATAGTTCTACAAAAGGCTCAAAAAG